AGAATTTAGAAGAATAAGCAGAGACTCAGTTTCTTTTTTCATGCTTCAGCAACCTTGAGAACCTCATTATCAGGTTTCCTTTCTGTTGCTTCTGGCTGATGTCTACATGTCGGGTTCGTTTTTTTTTTCTTGGTGCCTTTTTGTTGTTGTTGTTTTTCTGGAGCATAAAGCATATTGGGTTGCTTGCAGAAGTGTTTCTGAGTTTCTCTGTGTCTGGAACGCATCATAAATACAACAGGTCCTTCTCTTCAAGCTGCTGAAAAACAGGCGTCATTATATCTGCATTTCTTTTTTAGCTGATTCAATTCTGTCCAAAATGTGCCAAAATTATTTCGCTTTCTGTCACAATTTTAAATTAAACTTTGCAATTGCAAAGATATCGTTATTGCATTTGACTTGACCGAATTCCTGCTTATATTTCAGATTTTTAACTTGTAGAAAAAGCAAAAAAACTGATTCAGGTCAAATCTTTTTGCAATGATGAACTTCCAGCAGGGGACCAAGAAATACTCATTTAAAAAATCAGATTCTTCTACTGTGCATCAGTTGAACCTCTCAAATTAAATGCAATTAAAAAAAGGATACCAGAAAATATTTATCCAGGGATTTTTAGAATTATACAAAGTACTGTATGTGGGACACAGAGAACACGTTCGTTAAAATCCGGAAAATAGATGAAAACCTAACAATACAAAAACTTGATTTAAGGAATGCGACAGCGGGAAATCCCAATGGAAGTGCCCGCTGCCGGAAATTGTGATCCTTCTTTCACTTTCACTTCTGTAGGCATCCATATTGTCGTTTAATTGCGTCGAGTACACTGTTAATTTCGAGAATGTTCTAGATTTTACCTCACCCTGCCCTCTGTGTTCTAACTCTTGTTATTTCGACCAGCGACATCTGCGCGAGTCCCTGTTCAAAAGAGGGGGGTTTTTGTGGGACACAGAGAACACGTTCGTTAAAATCCGGAAAATAGATGAAAACCTAACAATACAAAAACTTGATTTAAGGAATGCGACAGCGGGAAATCCCAATGGAAGTGCCCGCTGCCGGAAATTGTGCAATCGAATTTTGCTCTTCTTTTTCTAACTCGCGATACTACACTACGTTGTCAAACTTCGAAGCATTCGGATGTGCGAATCTTGCTTAGTGCTTTGAACTTGTGATTTTGCGTCTATCTTTGTCAAGCCTTGTGGGTTTTAAACTCTTTATCATCTTATTGAATTTGAAATATATTTTTATCCTTTCCTTTCGAAGATTCCACCGAGAATCTTCACGCCGTATTCCCCGGCGGATTGTGCATTTTTATTCCTTTTAAATTCCCGAATTTCTTTGAGGGCTGATTGCCCTACACTGTATATAGGTATTGTGATTTGTGCAAATTAGTCAAGGATTTTTTCCTGCTGGTGGACCAAGAAATATTAATTTTTTAAATCAGATTCTTATATTGTACAGTTGAACCTCTCAAATTAAATCCAATTCGAATGAGGAAACCTGAAAATAATTATTCATGGATTTTTAGAACAAGACACTCTTCAGGTAATTTGTGCAAATCAGTCAAGGATTTTTTATTGTGAACAAAGAACTGAGAATTTTAAAAATCTGATTCTTATACTGTACAGTTGAACCTCTCAAATTAAATCCAATTCAAATAAGAAAACCTGAAAATATTTATTTAGGGATTTTTATAACTAGACACTTATCAGGTAATTTGTGCAAATAAGTCCAGGATTTTTTTTCTGGTAAATTTCTTGGAATTTTTTATTATTCATAGCTTGCCTACCTGCAGGAATTTGCCTAATACCTTGTAAAAATAATCAAGAAAAATAATGGGCATTTTTTCTTGGTTTTCTGGAACACTCACTCCATAATTTGGGTAAAAATTAATCAAACAAAAGGCCTTACAAATTTGTATAAGAGAGGTTTTATCTGAAGCATTTCTCAAAATAAGAATTCAAAGAAAATATTTTCCTTCACTTTGCAATGCAGAAAACAACTTCTGATAGAATCCAAATACCTTGTATAATTTATTTTGGCACAAAAACGAGTCTAAAATGTAAAAAGGAACGCATATATTGAATTTATAATGTGCGCAATAGAAAGAAAACCCCTGTAAAAGATAAGCACAAAATTAGGCTCTTTTGGCACATGAATTAGATGAAATTCCCATTAAAATTGATTTTCACAATAAGTTCTCAGCAATTGTTCAATCTGCTAAAGAAATGAAGACATTTTGAAAAAAAAATCCAGAAATTTCTGCATTGATCATTTTTGAGGCATTTTCCAGATGCTGGAACAAATGTGTTAAACCCAAATAAGTAACTATAAATCAAATTGTCTAAATTATCGGATTTTTCACATCTTCAAAAAGAAGTAGGCTTCCATTGTACACATTCTTTTATTCATCATCAGACTAATAACTGAGCAATTTCGTTTCAGCATTTTCAAAGAAAAATAACATAAAATAAACCCATGACATACAAATTCCCTTCAACTCACATTTCTATACACAAGCGTTCATTTATCGTCCAANCATATATTGAATTTATAATGTGCGCAATAGAAAGAAAACCCCTGTAAAAGATAAGCACAAAATTAGGCTCTTTTGGCACATGAATTAGATGAAATTCCCATTAAAATTGATTTTCACAATAAGTTCTCAGCAATTGTTCAATCTGCTAAAGAAATGAAGACATTTTGAGAAAAAAATCCAGAAATTTCTGCATTGTCCATTTTTGAGGCATTTTCCAGATGCTGGGACAAATGTTTTAAACACAAATAAGTAACGATAAATCAAATTGTCTAAATTATCGGATTTTTCACATCTTCAAAAAAAAGTAGGCTTCCATTGTACACATTCTTTTATTCATCATCAGACTAATAACTGAGCAATTTCGTTTCAGCATTTTCAAAGAAAAATAACATAAAATAAACCCATGACATACAAATTCCCTTCAACTCACATTTCTATACACAAGCGTTCATTTATCGTCCAAAAAAAAAAAGAAGAAGAAGAAAAAAAAGAAAATCTTTCTCGACAACAGATTTAGTTTAAAAAAAAGTTAAGTCGGTATTTTTTCTCCGAAGATATTTCTGCGAATTCTCGCACCTCATCTATGACTAGATTTTGCGTGTTTTTCTTCGTCCCACAGCAACAACAAAAGGATATGCTGCAGTTCGAGGTGTTGTTTGTTAGAGAAAAAAGACCTTCAATATAAAAGGTCTTTTAAAAAATAAAGAAATAAATTGCATAAAAGCGAGGCCTTTTTTTCCGACCTCGTCAGTCATAAGCAAAATAAATTCGAGAGTATGCCCATAATGTCCCAAAACAGAGTGTGTTCTCAATTAACACAAACCCCCACATAAAATAAAAAAGGTGCCAGAAAAAAAAATCAAGTCAAACAGCAAAACCACGGAATTTTTCCACACACAAACAAAAAATAAAAGATTTTTTTTTAAAGCCAGCGAACGTGGCGAAATAAAAAGTAAAATTAAAATAAAAGATTTTCTCTCGACTCGCCACGAGATCCCTGATGATGATTTCCCCCCTTTTTTTTTCGAAACACCCAGGAAATATTTTTTTTGTGTTGATAAAATTGAGAAAAAACATATGCATATGTATCTAGAAAATGTAGCGATTTCATCAGAGGAAAAACCAGGAGCTGCTGCTGCTGGTGCCATTGACGGCGTCTTGGATCGAACTCGTTTCGTTCCAGGCAATGTTATTATTATTGGAAAATGACGTTGTGATCCAGGGGTCGTTGTCGTTGGGACCCATGTGGTTCGGGCATCCGTAGACCTTGAGGTATCTGAAGCACTCGATACCAGTGTTGTGCCACCACCAGAAGCTCAACACAGCGAACAAGTGCCACCACTGGTGACTAGATCCGATGAAGTCGAAGAAGCCTGAATAAGAGACAAGGACGGGAAAAACTTTAGTGAACCGTGTGCCAGCGCCATCTACTCAAAGACGTAGCAAACGCTCGCGCGATCCGTTGCTTCACGCGAGAATCAAATTTCTCCGCTGCCTTAGCTAGGTGTCGCTCGAATGCATGAAGTGGACAAAACCAGCGTTCACCAACAGGTGGTCCCCAAAAAATTTTCTTTTGCATAATAAATCCATAAAAAGTAGCAATGAAGTCCTTTATCTTTTTCTGAAATTTTGGAGAGACAATGGCAGATGAAATCATCTGATGAAAAATAAAAGTTGGCTTTTCTCCTTCAGTAACAGACAAATTTTCTTCTGCTGAAAAAAAAATTCATTTTGATTTTTCATCCTGAGATGGCTTTCTTCAAGCATACCTTTATAATTGTTTCAACACAATCAACTATACCTGCCTTATTGATTATCAATTTAATGTTTTCAAAGCAGCAAAAAACATTTTTAGTACCTGCCATGAAGTTTTTCAAACAAAACTTTTTTGAGTCTGCACAATTTTTTTGGAACTTTGCTGGTGTGCAGAAAAGTGTTTGGAATTTGCCGGTCTGCAAAATTCAATGGAAATTTGCTCATCTGCAGGCCCAAAAAGTTGTGCAACCATGACCCAAGCTACCAAATTCAATTTAATGATAATTATTAGTGAAAAATCTGATTAAAATAAAATTTTCAGCATAAACTGAAAAATAATGTGCTGAATAATTAATATAGATTCCAGCAGTTGAACCTAGATAACAGCCAAATGAACTACAGGTGGCACCTTGCAATTTGATGGTCAAATTTGCAGGGAGATTGACTTGCAATTTGGACTGCTTTTTCCTTTTTTCACTTTCCTTTTGAATTTGACAGCGTGTCTTGCAATTCAAACAATTTGTCATTTGACCCTAGTTTGCAAATGGATTAGGGTCAAATTTTCAGGTACCACCTGTTTACAGTTGAGCAGATCATGTGTATCAAACAGGGAAGAACAACTTTTGAAAAATACAAGCAGTTTTGTAACAAAACATGAAAATGCCAATTCTTCAAGGATAAAACCCCAGAAAAAGTCATAGAAGAGCTGCATGTGCTTTAGTTAAACAACAGAAGACTGAGAATAGTATTGCTCATGTTTCAAGGAAAATTAACTTCAATTCAACTCCTTTTTTGAAGGTACAAGACAGCCAGCTGAATTGAGAGACATTCAAACCTTTTTTTTTTTAATTGAAGGCCTCCTCAAGACTACATTACTTCACTATACTGCATCCCCAGAATATTGCTACTGAGTTTAAAATGCAACAGGCATAAAACTTATGGCAAGAAAAATTAAATTCTATCATTCTAAGCATTCTCAAAATTTAGTCTTGCCTTGAATCCAATCTCATGTACTTCTGAAAATTTCCATCCATACAGTATTCATTTTTACATGATGATTAAAGTGAACACAAAATTAAGTTTAATCAGCAGAATATTATTAAATATCCTCAATGACAGGGTGCAAATTTAAGATCAAGTATTTCTTAAAAAATCCTGTGAAATGTTTCAATTTGATGGCTCTCTACTTTCAAAAAATATTCTCATATAATCCAAAAAATATTCTCATATAATCCAAAAAATATTCTCATATAATCCAAAAAATATTCTCATATATAATCCTAAAAATATTCTCATATAATCCAATAAATAAACTTTTCAAAGCAATATGAGAGTATTTCCTCTTACAAAAAAAAAGCCTCACTGTTTCGGTCAGAAAGGTTTCCTGTTGTAAAAACAGGAAGTTGCACGATATATGTGGACATCATTATCCAGAAAACCCACCACCGTGACTATAAACGCTGAAAGAAAGTGCCATTTACTTTTTCCCAAAATGAGCAATTTGCTCAGCCATGCTTGCAAGTTTTGCAATCCCATTCACCACTCAAAATAATGCAACATATTAGGTGATTTTGCAAAATAAAAAAGCCGGCCTTAAACACGTGATTGTGGAAATCCTGCGTCCTTGGCTACATGGCAACAAATGAGAGATAATTTTGAAGTCATTGACCTTTCAGGGTTTACTGGCACCAAAGCCAGTATTACTGATAAAAGAAAAGTACTGAGAGNAAAATATTCTCATATAATCCAATAAATAAACTTTTCAAAGCAATATGAGAGTATTTCCTCTTACAAAAAAAAAGCCTCACTGTTTCGGTCAGAAAGGTTTCCTGTTGTAAAAACAGGAAGTTGCACGATATATGTGGACATCATTATCCAGAAAACCCACCACCGTGACTATAAACGCTGAAAGAAAGTGCCATTTACTTTTTCCCAAAATGAGCAATTTGCTCAGCCATGCTTGCAAGTTTTGCAATCCCATTCACCACTCAAAATAATGCAACATATTAGGTGATATTGCAAAATAAAAAAACCGGCCTTAAACACGTGATTGTGGAAATCCTGCGTCCTTGGCTACATGGCAACAAATGAGAGATAATTTTGAAGTCATTGACCTTTCAGGGTTTACTGGCACCAAAGCCAGTATTACTGATAAAAGAAAAGTACTGAGAGTCAACAACACTGAGCCAGGTGGCCACTTGATTTGAGACAAAACACCCAAGCAGTACTTGCACAATCAGTACTGTACAGTACTAGCATTTGAACACTTCTCAACTCCTAAGAGAGGAGAAATAAGTGGGGGGATTTCCAAGTGCTGGTTCTTGTTCTCATCAAGGCCAGGATTAAATCAGAAGATTCATTACAACATCTTACCTGGCTTGAATCTCTCAGGGATCCTTGAGAGATAGAAGAAGAATCCCATGCCAAGTAAGAAGTACAGCACCAGTACTCTGCCAACAATTGTCTGCAGAAAATGGTTGCAAAATTGCATCAGTTGGAAAACTTTGCATACACAATGAATAAACCAATTAAATTAACTTCCAAATAAGCTTTTTCTTGCACTAAAACATATATTTTGGAAGTTTTGCAAAATAATCAAAGTCCTTTGTTTCATGAAACTTTTCTTGTGCATTTTCAAACATAAAAACCTAGAAATTTTCTTTTAATCAAGTTTTTATTGCACTTAATGTCCAAGATTTGAAAAATGATCAAAGCCCATGATTTTTAAACTTTTCTTGTTCAGTTTCATAAAAATTTAGAAGGCATAACAATTTAGAAATGTCCTTTGAAGGTGAACATTAAGCTTTCAGAATTGGTTATTAGTTGACAGATGCTTTCAAAAAGATACTTACTTTAATTCAGTGACCTTTTATGTTGAATTCAAAATTTGAACAAAAAGCTGAGAAGGGTGGTAAACAATTAAAGATGATGCCAATACTTTTTTTGAAAGAAAAGCATTTTCCATATTGTACATTATTGTGGGCTACAAAATTTCAGAATCAAGCATATTTCAGGAGGAAAATCCAGTTACCTTCACCCATGGGTGGGACCATCCTCCATAGAGGAAGAACCAATGGAATGTGGGGATGAACCCAAAGATGGCCCAGACTGCAAAGATGAGGACCCTGTGGGGCCTGTATTTCTCCTTGAGGAACTCTTCCCACAGATGCAACCCCACAGTCACACAGAAGGCTGAAAAGGCTGTTATCCAGTAGAAGTACCTCCAATACTGAAAAAAAAGTATAATGGTAAGTAAGGTGCTATTTCAATGCTAAAAAATTTAAATTCCCAATTCAAAGAATGTTTCTCAGTGAAGATATTCAGTGCTAAGCCAGGGTTAGAATATACTCTTTGGCACAATACTGAACTGTAATTCTAAAAAGAAATCAATGACTTATTCTCATGTTCTCTCTCTTTTTTATAGCAAATCAAATTCCAGTGACTTGAAGAATGCCAATGACCAGTTCAAGTAATTCCAATATCATGGGAAAGTAGTTCAAGGTCATCAAAATAATTTCAAAACCTTTTCTCAAGGTTGGTTGCCTGACAAAATCAGCTCTTATTGGGAAATAATTCCCATACTTGTCTTGGTACTGCATAAAATAATACAGTAATTTAAGTTGCAATTCCAAGTAAATACACAGCACAATAAAATGTTATTTTTTCCTCTTGTTCCTAAAGATTGTGATTATAGGTGGGAAGGCCATGATCATACCCAAGACTGGTCTTGAAAAGTAAAAATAGCACTTGCATCAAAATTTTAAGAAATTACAAATGACCTCTGAAAAATCAAGGATTTCACACATGAAATTTGTCTTTGTATACAGTATTTTTGAGAATGAGATTGAATTACAGTGAGACCCTGAAATATGGACTCAGTGAAATTTGGACAATTTCACTTTGGGACATTTGGAACAAGGAAAAATCTACCCCCAACATCTTTAGAAAATTTCCTTATATAGTCAATAAATTGTTGCATAATACAAACAAAATCATTGTAGAAAGAGTTCAACTGAAGTGTGAGACAAAAGATTTCAGTGAAACTAAAACAAAAAACCTTTTGGTGAAGTGTTGCTTATCAACCCTATAAAACATTTCTAAATTAATTTATGAAACACAGTACCTTTCCTTTTCAAAAGCACAAAAATAATTCACTCAATGTACAACCTGAAAACTGCTCAGTATTAACTAATAATTCAGAAAACAAATGATTCACTCCCTCAGGTGATGCAACAATTAATTGCATGGTGAAACATTCCAGAGTCTGAATTTCAACAAAGCAAATATTCCACACCAAGCTAAGAATATTTCGAAAAAAAACTTCAAACACACTTTGCTTTTGTCCCAAAAAACCCCTCAAGGCTGACCAAAAGTAAGTGTTGCAACTTTAACACACAAGAGCGATATACAATATATAAATAAAAAATCTGTCTATATTTCGCTCCGTTGCGGAAATAACCGACGGTGGAAAAAAGTACCGTATTGTACTTCGAAGTGGCTCAATGAACTGGAAAATTATATATATTTAAAATAAATAAAAACTCACAGCAAAGCATGAATAGGCACAATAAATGCCAGTCCAGTAAAACGTGAAAGTCGCCCAAGCGACTCCGAAAACATCCCACTTGAAAGTCGAATGGCAAGTCTTCTCCGAACTGCAGTTGAAAACGTGGAACACCACCGACAGCGACAAACAGGCCTTAAATTTTTTTTTGTTCAAAGAAAAAAAAGTACGCAGGGAAAAAGATTAATTTAATAATCCGGAAATGGCGTCCAAGAACTGGTCCGGAACATACCTGGAAGGATAAGATCATCATGACAGCCACGACCACGTCATAGTATGAAGGAGCCAGGTCCTGTATTTGTCCCATGTCCATGAATAAGAGGACCATGAGCCAAACTACACCTAGAATGTGGCTCCAGATGTTGATGCTTTCATTGGTCCACCAGAAACAACTAGAAATCAAAAATTTAAAGCATACATTTGGGGTAATAATATATCACAACCATATCTGATGAGAGAGAAAGAGACATGGAGAGAGAGACAGAAACAGTAAGAGACATTCAGATTGAGAGATATATAGTGCGAGACAGACAGACTGAGTGAGAGGGGGAGAGAGAGAGAGCCAGGCTTAGTGAGAGAGAGAAAGAGTGAGCGAGTGGCAGGCTTAGTAAGATAGAGACAGGTTTAGTGAGAGAGACAGGCTTAGTGATAGGGACAGGCTTAATGAGAGGGACAGGCTTAGTGCAAGACAGGCTTAGTGAGAGACAGGCTTAGCAAGAGAGACAGGCTTAGTGAGAGAGACAGGCTTAGTGTAAGACATGCTTTATGAGAGGGACAGACTTAGTGCAAGACAGGCTTAGTGAGAGAGACAGGCTTATAGTTAGAGAGACAGGCTTAGTGAGAGAGACAGGCTTATAGTGAGAGAGACAGGCTTATAGTGAGAGAGAGACAGAATGAGAGAGACACAGTGAGAGAGAGAGAGAGAGAGAGAGAGAGAGAGTGAGAGTGAGTGAGTGAGTGTGTGTGTCAGGCTTGAGTTTCTTGATTCTTACTTTTATATATTGCAGACCACTTTGTACCCTAAAATTATAAAAACTTGAGGACCACAAACTTTTAAATGAGTCCCAGCATTGTATCACCTAATCCATTCCTGGGTGTCTTTTTTATTCAAAAGTTACTCCATGTTATTCACAAATTATAATCAGCAAAAAATTATAATTAGTTCAGAAAAACTTGTACTTAACTCACAAGAATTTCCAATTTCACAAGTTATAAACACTGTTTTGTTTTGTAATAACACTGTTTCACCATGAATAAACCAGAATTATTTCTTTTAAAAATATCTTTTTTCAAGGAACAACTTTATGTGAATCACTTTAATTCAGTCACAAAATTTTTAATATGGATTTTTCATCGCCTGAGTCATTTTTATGCAAGGGCCAATTGCATTCAATGATGTGCAGTATTTGTGGCAGGAATTCTTGGATCAATTCCTTTTGTGATTTCAGAAGGAAATCTTATCAGCAGACAATCTAGGGTGGTTTTTCCTGTGAGCTGATCCAGTTTATTTTAAGACACAAAAAGCTACACACTGGATGCCCCTAAAGGGCTATCATATTTTCAAATTATTTTTAGGTGTTCAACCCTTGGTTTGCAGTGTGTTTTCCCTTTATTCTATACAGAAAAAGAAAGGGAAAGAGTCTTATTTCTGGTGCAAGGTTTGTTCACCTCTATAGATACCAACCTGGAGGCAGCAGGGACATGATGGTTTATTGTCTGTTTTTTTTTCTCTTTTATTGAAAGGCTTTGGTTTTCCCAATGATTTTAACCTTTGGTGTTGAGTATAAAAAGGGTGCTTTTTGTTACCAAAATAATCAGAACAACATTTTAAGATACAACATTGGAAGGTTCCCCCATTTTAAATCCTGGTACTGTAATTTGGTGTTTTTGGTAAAGAAGTTGTGAGCAGAGTCTGGCCTGGTATTTATTCAAATGTCTAGCTTTGTTCAAAGCCCACCACCAGCTTTCTGTCAAAATGGCAGCATGAAAATCAAACTACAAGTTTCCCATTTGCATTCATTTTCTTGTGATTTCTGAAAGTGGGGTTGGTTGGAAACTATCACACTCATATATTCAAATCAAAATCTTTCCTTCAAGTACAACCAAGACAAAAATTCACACATATACCGTATTTACTCAAGTACCAAATGCACTTTTTTTCTCAAATTTCAGAAGAAAAAAAGGTGTCCGCATCATAAGCTGGTACACATTTTTAAAGAAGTTTTAGGAAGTTATGTGTGCATTATACTTGATTATTATGGAGAAATTTTGAACAAATGTAACAAGAAAACTTTTTTGTACTGAAAAAGTTGAAAATTGATCCAATTTTTGTTCAATTCATGTCTAAAGTCAATTTTTTGAATTTATTTTCAAAATTTTGTGGTTTTAGATTCACTAAAAATTGGGGTGCGCGTCTCACTTGGGTATAAGATTTTAGCCAAATTTCCAACTGAAAAACCCCTGTGCGAGGGCGCGTGGTACTTGAGTACTTGAGTAAATATGGTACAGTACATTGCCAAAAAAAAATAAGCAGCCTATACTGAATTTTCATAAGCAATTACAACATGCAAAAAAATTTTTTTATTGCGCATTTGAATTTGACGCATCAAAGTTTGCCAAAATAAAGGAAAACACTGACCTTTTGAGACACTGAATGAGGGACAATGAATTCCGGTATCCCTTGACAATGAAGGGATTGTGTTTGAGGAATTCCGGAGCCAGGTCGAATTCAACCGTGCGTTTGTTCCGTCGACGTCGTTTGTTGGAACTCGCCTTGCTACTTGCTCCATTGCCCACTACATTGTTGCTGAACGTAATGTCCGCCTCTTTGCTCATCAACGGCGCCTCGACCGCCATCACACCGCCCTTTCCGACTTTGCCCAACATCCAGCTGCGCCTGGCCAAAAAAAAAATCAAAAGAAATATTTTACTCATATCAAAAATTGTGCAGTGCAAAATAAATTCAAAAACAATGTTAATATTTTGTTCAAGTTACAGCCAACCCCCGCCTAACGGACTTAATTTGTGCAATGGACAAGTCTATTGGACAAAAAGTCCTTTAGACAAATAATTCAATTATAATAAAAATTAAAACTTTCAACTGTCAACGCTAATTTTAAACCAACAGAAGTCTGTTTGGCAGATGTGGTCTGTTGGGTGGGAGGAAAAACTGCCTGCAGAGCTGGTCTGTTATATGGGGGACCACTTATTTAAAAGAAATTCCAGCCTATTTTGAGGTCAAATGAAATTAGGCTTCACAAATGATCAGAACAACATTATTTTAGGGATGCATGCGACAAAAAATCCAAGAAATAACTATTGCTTCACTTGACTTGGTGACCAAATTTTATTGATTAATTTTCAAGAGTTTAAATTTTAGGCTGGTGAAAAGGCAGGTTTGTAGTAACAAGACATTCATTAAGAAAAAAAACGTTTTTAACAGCATTTTGCAGCTAGGAAAAATAAACTTGAATAACTAGGTGTTGAGTCAAAAAATTAATTCAAGCAGTTTTAATATTCCAAGTATTGCATTTTAATAGATTTTGTAAAAAAATTATACTCAAAAGTTTTCTTCCCTGTAGCATATTCAGACATAAGGAGTGAAAATGAGGTGAAAATACTTGTCACACAATATTCATGCAAGTGAAAATATGAATAATTGATTGTTTCTGTAAAATTTTGGAAATATGAAGAAACCTGTTGACTCTGCCTGATGAAGTTATTACTCTTGAAATTATGAATAATGTACAGCTTTTCAATTTCATACATTTTTACAATATCAATAAAGGTCTTACTAGACTTGACAAGTTGCCCCAATTCAGATTTCAATAAAAATAAAGATGGAGACTGGACTCCTTGCATCATAAGATGCACTAGCATTCAGAATAAGCACAAAAGCTAGTTGAAAACATTATTATCATTTTTTCCATGAAAGCCCATCAAAAGTGTTATTGCTGGTGTTTTCAACCTTTTTTCATTCTGGCTACTGTTTGATTTTATTTTTATTTTATCATTTCTGAATTTTACTCAAGTACAGGTGGTACCTTGCAATTTGACTGTTTCAGGACTGGGGTCAAATTGGAAAGTGGTCAAATTGCAAAGACACTTTGTAAAATTTAGAAGTATCTGCACAAAAATGTGCAAAAAGTGCCCAAAGCAGGTCAAATTCCAGGACAGAGGTTGAATTGCAAGTCAACCTCCCTGCAAATTCCACTGTCAAATTGTCAGATGGTCAAATTTTGGGGGGTAAAATTGCAAGGTATCTCCTTTACTACCTCTTGTATGTGATGAACCTCAATTTTATTAGGAGAGAATTTCCATGTAAGCTGCACAACCCCCAGTCCTCTGTGACATGAAAATAAATTTATTCTGGGTGATAAGTATTCTAAATTCAACTTTAGACTCATACAATTGTAATTCAATTTTGCTGCATTTGTTTCAGTTTCACATTTAAATTTTTCAGTTTTTTTAGTTTAAACATATATACTGTGAATTGTTCTATTCTTTTAAATAATATGTATTTGAACTTCCTCCACATAGTTGAAAATTTGAGAAAAAGCAAAAATCCTCAAAAAATTTCAGAAATGAATGTTTACTAGAGCATCATGACCACATTTCAAAGGTTTTTTTCTAGGAAAAGATAGTGTGTGGTACAAGTGGTACTTGAGTACATGCAGTAGGTTTTTGACACTTCTACTCAATGAATACATATTTCTGGGTGTCCAGTTAAACCACTATAATTTGAAACAAAGCATGTTCAAGAGTCACACTCAAAATTTTTTTCCAATGAAATCTCATCCCAACAAAAAGCCACTGGGACATGAAGAAAGCTTCACAATAACAAATATTTTTCAAATGTCAAAGTTTGAATGCAGTCAAATCTTGGCAAATATATCCCCCTCCTCATGTAATTTCAGGATAAGAGACTTGAACATTGTTCAAGTTTCTGCCCAACATTTCAGCATGGATTAAGTCTTTAAAATATTTTTGGGACAATTGCTTGGAATATCTCAATAAGGGAAGGATTTTGCAAATCTCAGGAATTGCAAATCTCAACAAGGATATGGAACCAAAATACTGCAATATAGGGAACAAAAGGTTGAGCTTAGGCACACCCTGTCTTTGAAAAAAGACTCACATCCACAGAAAACAAGTGGACACTCTCTGCTACAAAATTCTCTCTGTATCATGTATTTTTTTAAATCCATAAATGTTGCCCACTTGCATCAAAATTTTCTTTTGGTCCTTAAATATTGAAGAGAACTCTCATGAGACCCCAAATAGATTTTGCTATAAGAACATGTTCAAACAAGGAGAACAATAATAAACATTGAGAGGCTATTTACATACAAATAGACTATTCTACAAGAATTTTGCCAACAATGATCTTTCAGGTACTGCAGAGTATTACAGTACAGTATTTGGATCCCATAAGGGTTCTTTAATGCAACAAAATTCATCAGCCCAGTGAAAAAGGATTGTAAATAATTTTTTATCAGGATAAGTTTGTTGTAGAGACATTTGTTTGTTGCAAAGATAATTCACAAAACCAGCAAAAAATGTGTAGAGAGAATTTTGTTGTTGAGAAAATTCATAGTTTAAAAAAAAGAAAATTTACAGGGAAAATCATTGTTTCTTTTTACAATAACAACTCTTTTCTCATCTGGAGAATTTCTTTTTTGCAGAGAACCCAAATAAATGTGACCAAACAACATATTTTACTGGGATAAAAATCATTGGAGACTAAATCCTTCTACATAGAGAGAGAGTTTATACCAGTACAGTACCATCCATTCCCAGCATGTCTCACACCCCCTCACTAACCTCTACAAGGGTTCTAACAAAAGTTCTTGGAGTAGCAATGAAAATGGCTTAAAGTAGAGCTGAAAAATTTTATTCTTTCAGGGAAAACATATTCTTTGGCACACGAAAAAATATCAGCCCTGTTTGACATTTTTTTCAAATATTTTCATAATTCACCCTGGCAGAGTTTTGCTCTCACTCAAAAAATGAGACGCCCTTTTTTGCTGTTTAATTTTATGAAAAAAAAGTTAAAAAAATTGTCAAACAGTGCTGATATTTTTTTGTGTGCCAAAGAATATGTTTTCCCTGAAGAAAACATTTTTTCAGCTCAACTGTAAGCCATTTTCATTGCTACTCCAAGAACTTTTGTTAGAACCCTCCTATAATCTATATACACCCCTGATGAGAAGCAACAAAAAAAATCCCCCAAGGCTATATCCAGTGTTCCTATTCTCAAGGCCATAGCTCACACACACACAAGCACCAATATAGTATTTTTTCTAGTACAGTACAGTCAGTACACATATCATTTTTTATTTTTTGTGCCTGTGTAGTTTGTAGTCATATTAACGACCACAACACCCTTCACTACTACTTGCTCCATTGCCCACTACATTGTTGCTGAACGTAATGTCCGCCTCTTTGCTCATCAACGGCGCCTCGACCGCCATCACACCGCCCTTTCCGACTTTGCCCAACATCCAGCTGCGCCTGGCCAGAAAACAAAAGCAAAAGAAAACCATTATTTTACTCATATCGAAAATTGTGCAGTGCAAAATAAATTCAAAAACAATGTTAATATTTTGTTCAAGTTACAGCCAACCCCCGCCTAACGGACCTAATTTGTGCAATGGACAAGTCTGTTGGACAAAAAGTCCTTTAGACAAATAATTCAATTATATAAAAATTAAAACTTTCAACTGTCAACGCTAATTTTAAACCAACAGAAGTCTGTTTGGCAGATGTGGTCTGTTGGGTGGGAGGAAAAACTGCCTGCAGAGCTTGTCTGTTAGGTGGGGGACCACTTATTTAAAAGAAATTCCAGCCTAATTTGAGGTCACATAAAGTTAGGCTCCACAAATGATCAGGACAACATCATTTTAGGGATGCATGCGACAAAAAATCCAAGAAATAACTATTGCTTCACTTGACTTGGTGACCAAATTTTATTGAATAATTTTCAAGAGTTTAAATTTTAGGCCGGTGAAAAGGAAGGTTTGTAGTTACAAGACATTCATCAAGAAAAAAAACATTTTAAACAACATTTTGCAGCTAGGAAAAATAAACTTGAATGACTATAGGTGTTAGTGAAACAATTAATTCAAGCAGTTTTAATATTCCAAGTATTGCATTTTAATAGATTTTGTAAAAAATTCTAATCAAAAGTTTTCTTCCCTGTAGCATATTCAGACATAAGGAGTGAAAATGAGGTGAAAATACTTGTCACACAATATTCATGCAAGTGAAAATATTGATAATTGATTGTTTCAGTAAAATTTTGGAAATATGAAGAAACCTGTTGACTCTGGCTGATGAAGTTATTACTCTTGAAATTATGAATAATGTACAGCTTTTCAATTTCATACATTTTTGCAATATCAATAAAGGTCTTACTATAGACTTGACAAGTTGCCCCAATTCAGATTTCAATAAAAATAAAGATGGAGCCTGGACTTGCATCTTAAGATGCAAGCATTCAGAATAAGCACAAAAGCTAGTTGAGGACATAAAATCATTTTTTCCATGAAAGCCCATATTTTTATTTTATAATTTCTGAATTTTATTCAAGTACAGGTGGTACCTTGCAATTTGACTGTTTCAGGACTGATGGGGCCAAATTGGAAAGTGGTCAAATTGCAAGACACTTTATAAAATTGAGAAGTATCTGCACAAATATGTGCAAAAAGTGCCCAAAGCAGGTCAAATTCCAGGACAGAGGTTGAATTGCAAGTCAACCTCCCTGCAAATTCAACTGTCAAATTGTCAGATGGTCAAATTGTGGGGGGTCAAATTGCAAGGTATCTCCTTTACTACCTCTTGTATGTGATGCACCTCAATTTTATTAGGAGAGAATTTTCATGTAAGCTCCACAACCCCCAGTCCTCTGTGACACATAAATAAATTTATTCTGGGTGATAAGTATTCTAAATTCAACTTTAGACTCCTACAATTGTAATTCAATTTTGCTGCATTTGTTTCAGTTTCACATTTCAATTTTCCAGTTTTTTTAGTTTAAACATATACTGTGAATTGTTCTAGTCTTTTAAATAATATGTATTTGAACTTCATCCAAAGTGTTGAAAATTTGAGAAACACCAAAAATCCTCAAATTTTTTCAGAAATGAATGTTTACTACATGACCACATTTCAAAGGTTTTGTTCTAGGAAAAGATAGTGTGTGGTACAAGTGGTACTTGAGTACATGCAGTTGGTTTTTGACACTTCTACTCAATGAATACATATTTCTGGGTGTCCAGTTAAACCACTATAATTTGAAACAAAGCATGTTCAAGAGTCACACTCAACATTTTTTTCCAATGAAATCTCATATCCCAACAAAAAGCCACTGGGACATGAAGAAAGCTTCAACATAAGACATATTTTTCAAATGACAAAGTTTGAATACAGTCAGATCTTGGCAAATATATCCCCCTCCTCATGTGATTTCAGGATAAGAGACTTGAACATTCTTCAAGTTTCTGCCCAACATTTCAGCATTGATTAAGTCTTTAAAATATTTTTGGGACAATTGCTTGGAATATCTCAATAGGGGAAGGATTTTGCAAATCTCATGGAATTGCAAATCTCAACAATGATATGGAACCAATACTGCAGTAGGTCACAAAAGGCTGAGCTTAGGCACACCCAGTCTTTGAAAAAAGACTCACATCCACAGAAAACAGGTGGACACTCTGCTACCAAATTCTCTCTGTATCATGTATTTTTTGTATCCATACATTTTGCCCACCTGCATCAACATTTTTTGGCCCCAAAAGTGTTCTCTAAATTTTCTTTTGGTCCTTAAATATTGAAAAGAACTCTCATGAGAATCAAATGGATTTTGCTATAAAAACATATTTAACCATGGAGAAAAATAATAAACATTGAGAGGGTATGTACACATAAGTAGACTATTTCTACAAGAATTTTGTCAACAATGATTTTTCCTGTACTGCAGATGAGTATTTGGATCCAATAAGGGTTCTATATGCAACAAAATTCATCAGCCCAGTAAATAAGGATTGTAAATAATTTTTTATCAGGATAAGTTTGTTGTAGAGACATATGTTTATTGCAGATATAATTCAAAAAACCAGAAAAAAATGTGTAGAAAGAATTTTGTTGTTGAGAAAATTCATGGTACAAAAAAAAAGAACATGTACAGGGAAAATCATTGTTTCTTTCTACAATAACAACTCTTTTCTCATCTGGAGAATTTCTTTTTTGCAGAGAACCCAAATAAATGTGACCAAACAACATATTATACTGGGAAAAAAAATCATTGGAGACTAAATCCTTCTATATATATAGAGAGAGAGAGTTTATACCAGTACAGTACCATCAATTCCCAGCATGTCTCACACCCCCTCACTAACCTCTATTAGGGTTCTAACAAAAGTTCTTGGAGTAGCAATGAAAATGGCTTAAAGTTGAGCTGAAAAATTTTTTTCTTTCAGGGAAAACATATTCTTTGGCACACGAAAAAATATCAGCCCTGTTTGACATTTTTTTCAAATATTTTCATAATTCACCCTGGCAGAGTTTTGCTCTCACTCAAAAAATGAGGCGCCCTTTTTAAGTTTTTTAATTTTATGAAAATTTTTTTTAAATTTTCAAACAGGGCTGATATTCTTTTGTGTGCCAAAGAATATGTTTTCCCTGAAGAAAACATTTTTTCAGCTCAACTGTAAGCCATTTTCATTGCTACTCCAAGAACTTTTCTTAGAACCCTTGTATAATCTATATACACCCCTGATGAGAAGCAAAAAAAAAATCCCCCAAGGCTATATCCAGTGTTCCTATTCTCAAGGCCATAGCTCACACAAACACTGACACACAAGCACCAATATAGTATTTTTAACACGTTTTTATTAACTCACTTTCTTGTCCATTTGTTTGTCCGGATCAAATTTTGCAACTCAAATTTTGCTCACTTCCCGACTAGCTAGCAAGCTGAACTTTCAGGATAGCTTAGAAACTGATGACAATGCAATCTTTTGTGAAATGAAAAATTATAAGAATATTTTTTAAAAAGAATAAAATAATTATAGTAGATTAAAAAATTAATCTAGAAAACCATGTTTTTCAAGTAAGACTAAAAAGCACAAAAAAATTTAGTAGATTAAAAAATTAATCTAAAAAACCACATTTTGAAAAAGGAAAAAATAACCTTAAACGTGGTGTGCATGGAGATTGTTGGGAAGAAGTGAAATACAAATGAAATAGATGCGCACCATGTTTAAGGTTATTTTTTCCTTTTTCAAAACGTGGTTTTTAGATTAATTTTTTAATCTACTAAATTTTTTTGTGCTTTTTAGTCTTACTTGAAAAACGTGGTTTTTTAGATTAATTTTTTAATCTACTANGCAGCAAGGGGAATTCTCTCACGCATCTTATTCATGTTCCAACACTGACATCATATTTGCATGACAGGATATCACACACACACACACATAAAAATGCAGTGAGACCCCCACATGCAAGACACCTGGCCATGAGGGCAATTGGACATGGGGACATACAGACACTGACTTGACATGAGGACATTGCATGATAAAATGGAAATGCATTTCACAAAATTGACTTTTTTCTGCTTGATTGCCAGAAACAAATATTTCAAACCATAATATTTATGCAAAAAAAAATGTGGTACTTTCCTGTTATCTCAGTACCTCATTCCTAGACTGCACTACCATCCAGACAAATCTTTAGGACAAGTTCATAATCACAACAACCTACCAGAAACTGTGAATTTTATTTTTCCACATTCTGCTGAAACTGATTTTGGGAGGCGGTTAGGTAAAGTTAGGTTAGGTCAGGTTATGTCAGTTACAAATATCTTTTAATTAACATAACCTGACCTAACCTTACTTTACCTAACTGCCTCCCAAAATCAGTTTCAGCCAAAACCCAAAGAAAGCAGAAACTGATTTTGGGAGGTGGTTAGGTGAAGTTGGGTTAGGTCAGGTTAAATTGGTCAGAGGGAAGGTACAAAGATAACAGGAAAGTAAGTACTGAGATAACAGGAAAGTAGGTACTGAGATAACAGGAAAGTACCAAAAATTCTTTGTCATTTCTCCAATCATGCAGCTAATTAAAAAATTACCTATTGCATAAGGGGACTTCCTTCTCTCTTTGTGATTTGAATGTTATTTTTGTAGATGCCAACATTTCAATGTACAGTATACAGAGATACACCATTCAATGCTCCAAATGTTCTTATTGATTAGAAAATATAATCACAGAATCAAATTCATAAAAAAAAACAAATAAGCAAGCATTTAAAAACAAGCTTTGCAAAGGGCAAACCACGTTATATTTCTTCCTATAGTACAGCAGGTGCAAAAACATTAATCAACAGAAGATGAGTTATAAAAAACATGAATAAAGCTCCTATACTTCCTTGGATAAATTAGACCAAATAAAATCAACGTACAGTATTGCGTAATAAAATTGCACACAACTAAACTAATTCATTAAA